CTAAGAAGCCAGTTATAAATAAATCTGGAACAGTTGGGATTGACTGTTGTTTAGCACTTTCAGACAGACGTTCAGGGCAACTGGCAGGGGCTTTGAAAGCTGTTTCCTAGATTAGAATCATGACAAAAATAGAAGTGAGGCTGCATTCCCTTGTCTTCTGCTAAAATAGATCTTACTCAAAAAACATTTTTACAAGTTTGATGAGGCATAACTAGTCCACTGTCAGATCCAGAACAAAATCAAAATTGGAAGTCCCATGTTGATCTACCATGAATAGCTACTTATTGAATTAGTAAGAGCAAAAAAAGAAAAGAAGGGGGGAAAAAAGTGGAGAGCACTAAGAGATACTAAGGACAAGGAGATGCCGGCTTGGCTACTATTGTTTTTAAACTTCCAAGTGAAGCACAATCAGAACTAGCCAAAAATACCCTAAAGACGTTTAAAATAACATAAAAAGGGAAAACAACTTATTTTACCTACTGTCCTTAGGAATATCTGGCAGGGTGGGGTGTTGAGGTTTGGGGTGTTGCTGATTTGAGGGTTCTTTGTTTTGTTTTCAAATTCAAGAACAGACGTTGCATAACTACTGAGAGCAAGGCTGAGTGGTGAGAACAGAACAGCAAAGAGGAAGCATGCATGGGTTTTTGTTCTGTTTTCAAGTGTCCTGAATACTCTTTACAGGGGAAGCATTTGTCACAGCGTCATCTCGCCTCCAGCAATTAAGCTTCCAAATAAATTAGCTTGGCTTTTATTTGGGTGTTTTTACAGTCAAAATGTATCTATCAAAATATTGTAGGATTAGCTAGTTCACTGACTGAGCAGCCCATTGTTCTGCCAAAATAATCAGTGGCCTTAATGAGCAATTAAGAGCTTTCATGGTCAGTGAGAACAGAAAATCTTAACATATACATCAGAAATTTTGTGTGTAACTTCCTGCTACTGTTTCAGACAAGGAGTGAATTCACAAACTATATGCAAGAGGCAATGTTGATTGAGAGCAGAATGTATATAATATAACACAAAAACATAGGAGAGATCAGGTACAGTAAGAGCAGTTTGATTTAGCCAAGTAACTCTCCCAAACCCATTTCCCATCAACTGTTCTCAGCCAAAACAGGTCTACATAATGTTTTGCCCCACCTGCACACACTCTAAACCACCCTGAGCCAAATCAGCTCCAGCCTGCAATCTCTGTGACCATGGTGCATGATGCCAGCCTGTCCTCTCTCAGCAGAGCTCACTGCTGTGCCCCAGCACCTGGTGAGCCCTGATGCAGAGCTTGTGGTTCCAAGCAGAATCACAGCTCCTTGGGTCAGAACATACACAAAGTGGAGTCATGCTTCTCTACAAAATACTGTGCACCCAATCCAACAGTGCCTTCCAGCCATTACTCCTATGGTTTCTGCAATGTGCAAAGTGCAATGGAATCAGCACCAGGAAATTTCTGCAACTTGCCTTCTACACTAATCCCAGGATAAACTAAGGCATAATTCACAGATGCAGTGTGTGCTCAAGAGCACACACAAAGGAGCACATGTCAGTAACCAAACTATGGTTTTCCCAACATGGCAATGGCTGAAAATATACTTGTTGCAAGACAGAAAACTCGTTATAGAGAGTCAAATCTATTATTTGTAATGCATTGCCACACTGCAGACGTAATTTCCTTTTACCAGAACAGCCTGCAAAAATGTATTTCAAACTAATTACCTTTAGGTGGAAAATATGACTTGCTTTCAGCTTTGTGAGGCCAGTCCACCACAAGAGGTCCAAACCTACGAAAGCTGGCAGTGATCTCATCTACAAAAAACAAATGAGGCACCTTAGAGAGAATGTGAAGACTGACAGTAGCAAGGTAAAAAGTCTTACTTAAGAAAAAAACAACAAATATACTGTTTTCTACACCCATTAAGAACAGTGAAAACTGCAACAATGCCCATAGGGGACACCTAAATATTCTTTCATCTCTCTGCTATACATGGCTGCTTAAAAAAAAAAAAAAAGGTCATTTTGCATTCCACTAATGGAAGTTTGCAGCAGGATTAAATGCAAACATGATCTACCAGAAGTGAATATGCTTCAGCTGCAGTCTATTTCTAATTATAGCCACAAAGCAGGGTCAGATGCAGCCACATGGGACTGACGGAGGAGCTACATGTCAGCACGGCTGCTCCTTGCAGCATGCCCTAGAAAGCAGCCTGCTGCAGGTCATGAGACTCTGGGGATTTCACCTTCCTCAATCCCCTCGGGAAATCTGCCTTGAACTACCAAGTCATTTCTTCACTTTTTAAGCATCAATTTAGAAGCACCGTGGAACACACGTATCAAATTATGCTATAGGGCAATTTTGTTTCACATTCAGAAAAAACGTATTTAAAGCTGTTTTTTTAAAAAAAAATCTACTTTTCTAAATGCATTTTTAATGTACTTTAAAGAAAGAATTAGCTTAAAATCACATCTAACGTGATGCTAGATAGATCAGTGAATAAGCCATCAGGAGATAAGGCAGTGGGGTTAGGAGCACCTTGGAACATGCATATCAGACTATCCTATAGGACAATTTTGTTTTACTTGTAAAAGCTTCAGAAAAAAGCATTTAGATTTTTTAAAAAAAATATATTTTCCTAAATGCATTTTTACACACTTCAAGAAAGAATGAGTTTAAAATCATGTTTAATGTGAATCTAGATATATCAGTGCAAGAAGCTATCAGGAGAAAAGGTAGTGGGGTTTTCAAATGTTTGGATTGCTGTTTGAAATGCGTCCAGTTTATCTGATCCCATGAGTTGCACACCAGATTTTTCAAGCAACTAGAGACACAAAGCACATGTTGTATACCTGAGGAGCTGAAGGAAAAAGGGCTACTGAAGCAGACCTCTCATGACAGAGGGTAACAGCTCCCATGTAACTTCCTGTACTGCTTCTTACAGCTGGAGACTCAGACTACCTCAATCAACAGCACTGCAGCTCATGATGTGACATGGGAACCACATTTGAGCTGTTTGCAAACCATAAATTGGCAACTCATACTATTTCTTTATTACAGCTGTAGGTTTAGGCTTCAATTCAGTAGATCAGGTTCAGAGATCTCTCTTTTCTCATTATAAGACATTCCCTATCTATGCCAATTGAAGCTGGATAGTGGTGAATTCCAGGTATGATGTGAAAAATACACCAAAAACTGTCATGATTTTCATTTGGGAGTATGGGTTTGTGAGGGCACACACAAGTAGAGCAGATATTGATGAGACTGAGAAAACCCCTAACCACCCCTACTAAGCTGGTTATTATTTTGTAACCATATTAATTGCCCTACATTTGTCATCTGAACCCTGCATATATTATAGCTGATTAATTAAAGCCCAATGTATTTTGATAAAGTCTGTATTAACAAAGTCCTTCAAGTCAACCACATCTAAGAACAGGAAAAGACTTTGGAGGAGAGACAGCACCTACTAAGTTCCGTTTCTCAGCTTTACATCTGTGGAAAGACATGCAGATCACAAGACCTGCTCTGCAGCCGTGACTGTCTCCATCTCTTCTGATCTACAGTGCAAAAGACTGTCAAGTGAAATAAGCCTCAGGTGTTGCAGGGGGTGGTGGTGTGTGTTTGGTTTAAGTAATGTCACAAGCACTACGAGCTACACACCTGGGAAAACACATTTGTTTTTATGAATATCTGACCTTTTTTCAGAGTTAATTATCTGCAAGCCCATTCCCACATCACACCAAGGTAACTTATTCACAGTACCTTCATCAATGTCAGGAGGAAGACCTCCAACAAACACCTTTCTAGAATAGCGTTCCACTCTTTCTCCGTTTTGACAACGTGTTGGAGAGCTGAGACCCGATGACAGAGACTGATCACCGTGGCTGTCGTCTAGGAAGCCATCTTCAAAAGGAAAGAGAGAAGACCGACCTGGAACAGATTTTGTAGTATCTACAGTTAACACTATTTCCTGGAGAATTAAATGTTTCAGTAAAAAATGTTAGCTTTGCCTTTTTGTTTTAAGAAGATTTGAGTTAAAGGGCTCAGCTAAGGGTCCAAATGATGTTCATTAGTATTGCTTCTATTTTTCAATGAGTGTATTACCCTTACAAGACAATAAACCTTATTTTTCAATAAAATGAACCCCTGAAAGTGTCTAGCAAAGAAAAACAAGTTATCTGATGAAATTGTGTGTCGCAGCTATATAAAGAACCTTTGCAAGATTCTCATTTCAAACTGATTCTTAGAGAGTTAAATATTTCAAAACAGATCTTGAAGGAATGAACTTAGAGAGCAGATTCCTCAAGCCACTTCACTGCAGGGCAGGACAGTCCTTCAGAGTGCTTTACAGGCTGCAGCACTTCCACCTCAAGGAAACAGAGGTCAAGGCTGAGTATGGGGCAAACAGCAAAATAAACATGGAAAATCTTTGCATTGTGGATATTAAACATGTAGGTGAAGAAACTTAGCTAGCAAAAAACACCCCCTCTCAAAACCATCTTATTAAATAAACCACAAAGGACTTGCACTTGAGTAAAAAAGTTGTTAGCTAGGAGAGTCTGTCAGGCTGTTTGTTACTCAGTGTTAAAACACCTTTTCAGTAATGAATGAATAAAATCAACATAAATGGCTGCTACTCAATTTGTTAGTGAAAAGTAAAGAATTTACTTGCACCCATCTGATGCAACTCACTTGTTGCTATTACTACCAAAGAATACACACAATATCCAACAAACAGATTTATTAATGCAGAAGATAAAAAAAAAATCTTCAAAGTCTGCATATAAGCAACATGCCAACTTTAGAATTTAAAAATTCCCTACATCTGAGTTTAAAAATAAGTCCTGCAATATAGAGAGATGTATACATGAAAACCCCACACCTCAGCTCTGAAAAAGCTCATTGTCCCATCAGATCATGGAAGATTGCTCCCAGGGATGGAATTATAATTAATTGATACAAACAGTTTCTAGAGGGGTTAATTATAAATACAAATAACAGGGCACACAATTAAATTCAAAGGTAATGGATCACATAAAACTGACTTACTGATTAATACCATACTGGTATTAACAGCACAGGGAAGTACAGGAAATAAAAACAGGGGCAAGGGGAAAAAAAATCAAGACATGCAGAGAGACACTAATCAGAGAAACATATGCACTGAAAATACCACTAATAGTCTCCAGCAGTAAAGGACAAATTATAAAAAGAAGCAGCAATCCTATATATGGAAGACAAGCTAACCAACAAAACCCAGGAAAGATGTTCCAGCTGACACAGAACACCAGCCTGATCTTTTTTTATGAACACCAGGCACTGGAAAAGTCTTGATTAGAAAGAATATACTGAATGTTAAACATTGACAGAGATCACAGACACAAAAATCCACTGAAGCAAAAATCCTACTGTGCTTTTACAGCATAAAAACCAGGGGAAATGCCACATTTGGAGAACGATTTTGAGACTCTTCGAAGTCTTGTTGTCAGAAATGGGTTTAGAGCATAAACCAGCAAACACTATTGATGAATATTGCATTAGTGGACAAACAGGTCATGCATGTGTATACACATATGCATTTCAACATAAAAGAAGACACATGCATGAGAGAAAAGTTAATTAGGAAGACTAAATTTGTGTGAAAATAACAAATCAGAAAACCCATTGAAAAGCAGGAAAATTGGAAAGGTCTGTAAGAGACTGACAGTCCTAAGGAGCTAAATAATCTTTTAATTCCCACCCACCAACCTACATTCTTATAAAACATGAAACAAACAACAAACATTAGCCATTAGTGGACTATATCACATTAATAGATACTAGAAGAAGGTGTTCAACCAAAATACAGGTCTGCAGAGGAGACTAAGTGCCAAGTTTTGAAGGAAATAAAAATTCACAGGAGCTTAGAAAGTAAGGGATCACCTCTTATGCCAGATGCCTGACAGTCTGCAGGCACTGTACTCACCTTAAATAAATGCAAATGATGATACAGAACTTTACAGTTGGTCAAGTAGAGTTAGATGTATGCAGTATACATTTAAAATAATGGAAAACATACAGGCAAGGGATTTGGGAATGATTGTTCATTGTCTCTTCCAGTAAGGGAAAAATAAAGTGCTTTGAACACAATCAGTACACGGCAAGGCTGAAAGCAAGGCAAACCCCAGAACCCCTTGCCAAGAGCATTTTAGGATGTAGGGTTAGTAAAGGAAATGAGTCAGAACAGGAGAAAAATCCATTCTAAAGCAATAAATATTGAGACATCACCTCAAGAAACCTCCTGGGGCAAATTTCTGGGGAACATTATGGGAAAGTATCACTAAATGCACTATTTATTTAATATGCTCCTGCACCCCTCCCTGGGCATCTCTGAGCTGTCAGCGTAGCGAAATAGATTGGGCTGATTCCCATAGCTCTGCTTATATCTATACCTGAAAAACTGGTTGCAAAAGTTAAAAACAAGGTACCAAGAACATGACTCAACAGCTCTGAACATGATACCTACAAAGAAATGTTCATCTATTTGCTCAAAGAAAACAGAGGATCAGTTAGAGAACTGATAGTTCATGGCAAGCCCCAAGAAACATCTGACAAAACTTCTCACTGAAGATGCTTAGTCACAATGACAGAATCAAACACTAACTAAAATATCCAAGTGTAACAAACATTAAATGAGTTTTTGAAAAAAATTGTCTGCAGTTACTCTACATATTACCACAATGCAAATGGTGAAAACAATAACAGAGAGGGATATGTGAGAATATTTGATAGCTGACAAGTAATTTTCTAACAGACTACTGCAGAATTTCATGCTTCTTAATGTTAAGAAAGCTCAAAAACAACACTGTAAAAGTCAAGGTGATGATAAAGCATAAACATTACAGACTTTAATACTGCATGAATGAGGCAAGTCACAAAATCCCTAACGTTAATGACAAGACACACACAAATCTACTTGTTACTACAGAAAAGCCCACATTCCACACAGGTAACGAGTCTTATGGAGTGAAACATGCTTTTTGGCAAAGAGAAAACAATTCTGAGAGTCCAGCACATTCAGCACACTCAGAACTTGTTTGCCCTGTTTTGTCATCACTACAATTTGAATAAAACAGCCTACCCTGTCATCATCACAATTACTGCCATGTTATTATGTTTTGTTTCTAGAAGTAAACATGAGTTGCAAGTAGTTTATGGTGTCCTACTGATTCCTACCTCCTCTCCTACTCTGGTGCCATTTGGTCAGTCTGGAAACACTTGTCACCATCTTAAAATGAAATTAAACAGTGTTCACATGCAGAGAGAGTATACAATATTATATACCCCCCAATTTGTTTCAGTACCACGAGGGCACTGAAAAATGATGAGCAGGATGCTTTCAACATCTGTTAACAGTAGCTTGATCTGTGGTAGTGGGGAAAAATAGGTAAGTTTGTGAGGAAAACTTGAATCTTTTGGTTTTGCTTTAGCTATCAAATGAACACTAGAACTAGTCAGCTTTGAACAAAATCAGCTCAAATTCTATATTATGAACTGTGTTGATACAGCCTGTACAGCCTCAATCCATACAGATGTGCAAACTAAAAGCTCTTAGGATGATATCAGCCTGTGATGGCTGCATCTGCCACGGAATCAGTTCGGTTGGAAGGGACCACAGTGAGTCATCTGGTCCAACCTCCCTGCTCAAGCAGGACAGTCTCCAAAAACTACATGTAAATGCTACATTTTGAAAAGGAAGCAATGGCACCTGCATAGCTGTCAGAGAACATGATGGGAAGGAAGATAAAGCTAAGTTTAATGCTGAAGTACTCCAAGCAGATGGCATTGCCTAACTCTAATTGTTAAAAGCTGCAATTTTCACTGTTATTTTCTCAATAAAAAACAGTCTGTGTAAGCTACAGTACATAAGTGTAAACTGCATTAGTGGCTTCCTTGGTAGTCAGCAAACTCGCTGTTGTCCGTGTTCATTAATCTCTCAGAATAAACTGATATGAAGCACTGCACATTTGTAAAATGTTTTCAGTTTGCTTTAACTTTTTAAGGGTTGTCTAGGATGAAATACAGTTCAAATGTGCTCAAATATGGTATCTTTTAAAATTATTATCACTGTTGAGGACAGTTATTAGTATTGGTATCTACACATGTTCTACCTAAGGCAATTCAATGTAAGAGTCAGGGGTAATATTCAGTGAAAGCTGTTTCATCAAAAAAAAAAGTAGTTTTGAACTGTTCAATGCAGTAGTTAAACATTTTACTTCTACAAGAAAAACCTCAAACACCAAACAAACCCATAACAATCCTTTTTTTTCGGAGCACTACACAATTAAAGTCACAAATACACATCATGAAAGAGTCTTTGCATTCAATCATCCTCCAGTTCACCAATAACAGCAACACACTTCAAGTTATCAGCTCAAGATCATCACTGGTTTAAGAGGGTGTTAAAAGGCACCTGTTCTGCAAATGAATATGCAATTGGGTTGTAAGAAGCAATTGATCAATCAAATCATGTTAAAGTCGGTAACATAAGAAAACTAAATATTTATTTCTCCCACTATTCAGCAAACAAAACATTTAGTAAATACTTTTACCTCTTCTCCGCCCATAGCTCCTGGCTGCATGTAAACACAGAAGAAAATTGTCGGTACAGCTGTCATCAGATTTAGCTCCAAAAGCAAAGAAAATGTAGCTTCTACCTCTTCTTTTTCCCCTCCCACCATAAAGAAGGAAAAGACATTGAAAAAGTACAAAATGAAATTCAAACAACCCAAGAAAAGAGAAAAATGGAAGATTATACAGCCAGGGGAAAAAAAAGGCAACCAAAAAAAAGGAACATACCTGCTGTGCAAGTTTTGTACATAGCAAAGGTATTAAAAAAATAAGGCATATCAGACAGTACTATAAAATAATTTAGGATTATGGTTTTAAGA